TGGTATGAGAGAAAAACAGGGAATCAAACAGCAATGATCATTAAAGGCTCCAATGGCAAGTGGAAGAGCTGGCAGTGGGAGGATTTTAATGTACCGAATGATGGGGCTGGAGTGGTAGCCTAGAAGGCTAATCCTCTGCCAATGGCACTATACGGATGCCAGTTCAAGTTCTGGCTGTTCCACTTCTAATCCAGCTCCCTGCTTATATCCTGGGAAAGCAGCAGAAGATGGCCATTCCTTGGGCTCTTGCACCCATGTGGGAGACCCAGAAGAAGCCCTGGTTTCAGATTGACTTAACTCTGGCCAGTATGGTCATTTGGGGAGTAAACCAGCAAAGGGAAGACCTCTCTATGTATGTTTCATTCTCTCTAAAATCTGCCTTTCAAATATGTATATATTTGATTTATTTTTAAAATGTATGTATATATAGGGCCTGGCATGGTGGCCTAGCAGCTAAACTCCTCGCCTTGAATGCGCCAGGATCCCTATGGGTGCCAGTTCTAATCCAGGCAGCCCCGCTTCCCACCCAGCTCCCTGCTTGTGGCCTGGGAAAGCAGTTAAGGATGGCCCAAAGACTTGGGACACTGCACCTGTGTGGGAGACCTGAAAGAAGCTCCTGACTCTTGGCTACGGATTGACATAGCACCGGCTGTTGCGGTCACTTGCGAAGTGAATCATCGGCTGGAAGAGCTTCCTTTCTATCTCTCCTACTTTCTGTATATCTGACTTTGCAATAAAAAAAATAATAAATCTAAGAAAAGTATATGTAAAATACATGTGTATGTAATACATATAACTATGTCTATTTAAAATATATACATATATTTTTTTGAAACAGCAGAATGTCGTGATTAGAGGGCTTTGGTAAAAGATGCTGGAACCCAATGCAGACACTATAAACTGGAATGAGACATCACCATGAAAGGGGATGGAACCACCAGGAGCACTGGGAGGCAAAGGAGGGGAGAAAAACTGATCCTAGGTGCATTTGGCTTGGAATCCCTGCTGGCCCTGTTTGAGGCTATTTGGGAGGAAAACAAAAGCTATTGCGTATCTCAGGAAAGCAGGGTGTGTCTGGATTCTGCTTTGCTCCGTGACTGTGGGCAAGGCACGCCGCTGTGGCTTCCCCTTCTGTGTCCCCAGGATTTCGTGGGACAGCATAAGTAAAACGCCACCAAGCATATTGTAAAGTCCTCCACACCATGAGTAATTTTATTGGTTTCTTTTAATTAGCACCCTCTGCCTTCCCAGGAAAGGTGATGGTTGAATATTTCTTTTTCATCTCTGGTCTCTGTAATTAGCTTGTTTTCTTCAAGGAAGGGAACAGGGAGTGTGCCTCTGGTACACAAAGGCAAGTGCTTGTCCTCGCCGACTGTCTTTGCCGCTTTCTGTTGTGCCCAAGTAATTTCACGGCTCATGCACTCGGAACTCCATCAGGAAAGTTGGGCCCCTCTATCAAGCAGATGATCGTCCCTGCTGGGTGTTCAATGGCAAAATCACAGATCTGTTAATTAACACTACGTGGGATTCCGGCTCTGACTCCTCAAGCTCACCCTGCCTTGCTTGGAGTGGGAGGTGCTGTCTCCGTCCTCTTCTGGGCCCTGGGGACACAAGTACCATGGCTCACCCCTTTTGTCCTTGCTCTGTCCTGGGCTCAGCAGCCAGGAGAACCACAGGCAGTGTGTCTCCTCCACCAGGACTTGTCTGCACATCCTTGCTCTATTACCTCCTCATTCCAGTATCCCCTTTGCCTACTTTCCAGAAATATTCCCTGAGTTCTCCCAACTGCAATAAAAGGTGGTAGGCGGTGGGGGGCTGTGTGTTGATTGAAAATGCCTCAGTTTGACTTTAAATATATCCCTGGGCTCCAGCAGGATGCTGACCCTGGACCATGGCTCGCAGTACTTGGCTAGTGCAGATGTGCCAAATTCTACCCCTAGGGACCTTCTTACAGATGCCTTCACAAGTCAGACCTGCAAGCTTTGTCTTTTGGTACCACTTTTGCTATTTCCCTTAAATCTGTAAACCTTAAGCATTTTCATTTTTGTTTATTTGTTTTAAAACGAAGTCGGTGAGTGGTTGAACTTGTCCAGCCATGCGCTCTAGCCTGGCTCCTTATCACCAGAGACTTACAGTGCCAAAGAGTTGAGGTCACCTGTTCCTGCAAAAGCAGACCCCTTACCCAGACCTACTGACCATAAATTTGGTTTTGACTCTAAGGAACTTTAAAAAATGAAGGGACTGGCGCTGTGGCATGGATGTTAAGCTGCTACCTCCAATCCTAATCGGAGCACAGGGTTCGTGTGCTGGGTGCTGTGCTTCCAATACAACTGCCTGCCAGTGGGCCTGGGAAAGCAGCGGATTTGGGCTTGAGTGTTTGAGCCCCTGTCACCCACATGGGACACGTGAATGCAATTTGGGCTGCTAGCTTAGATTAGCCTTGTCCATATGGGCATTGAGGGGAGGAGATAGAAGATCTTTCTGTTTCTCTCCTTTCTCTGCAAATCTGCCTTTCAAATAGATTAATAAATCATTTACGAAAATACCATCAGGAAAATGAGCTAGACACAGAAGAACCGATGCTGTATGTTTTGCTTATTTGGAGTATCTGAATAGTCAGTTAGTAACCGGGGATTGGGGTTGTTGAATGGGGAGTTAGCATCTAATGTGGGTTAAGTTTCAGATGGGAAAGATGAACAACTTCTATAGATGGATGATGGTGGTGAATGCACTTAATGCCATTGAACTCTATAATTTAAAAAAAATAGTTAAACTGGTAAATTGTCTGTTATGTATAAATACAATTTTTAAAGGAGAGAGAAGGAACCACCATGAAAATAGTTTTAAAGGACAAACTAAACATTTGGAGGAAAACAAAGATATAAAAATAACTCCAAAAAGCTCGATGTATTGATTCAAAGTCATTTTCTTAACACTAGGCTATAAAAATGAGTAGTCTGTAACTCCCATTGTTCTCAAAAATCATTGTGTTTGATATATTCCATTTACAAGCATAACTCACACCACTCAGACATTCATTTGGTGCATGGATGGCGCTTGTTCTGGAGGCAGAGTGCTCAGCCCTGGGTAAAAATTCAGTGTAAACTCACCAAGCAAGCTGAATTCCAAATGCTCAGGGGCCTCCTTACAAAGAACTCAGCAAGCTGCTGAGTCCAGGGATCTGGTATCTCTTGGTTTGATGAGTGAGTTCATTTTTGATGACTAGGAGATGGCAGATCCAGTTTGTCAGCCTGGCTGTTGGTGCCGGCAATGAGTGGGCGAGTTATGGAGAGAATTCTTATCTTCATGAGCCTATCTCCCAGGGCTCCGATGCCCTGGTTGGCCTCTACAGAGGTAATGGATTTCAGCCTATAAGAGGTCTTGCTTCTGGTATACCCCTCCCATTCCTATGTCTCCAGAAAGAGCTTGAGTGAATCATACTCATTATCCCACAAGAGGTGATCCTACAGGGTAGGTGTTCCAGCCCTCGCTACCCCCACCCCAAGTTGTTCCTGGAGCTTAAGGTCCTTACAATGATCAGACAAGTTAGGTATTAAGTCCTTAGGGTAGTGTCTTATTCAGCAAATGAACTCGTGCTGAATAAATGCCATTGTTATGAGGTCAGACCCCAAGGATGAGAGTGAAGGAGAGCAGTGTAAACTCTGACCAAAGTCTGGATATTTCATGTCAGCTTTATTCAAATATAAATTGTCCAGCAGCCTGCTCTGATGTGCCCGAGGCTTAGAAGAGAGGCCAGTTCAGAAGCAACGTGATCATCTTGCTTTGTGTTTCTGCCTTTGCATCGTAAGCCCAAGAGATTTGCAGCAGCATGAGTTGGTTGACAACACAATTCGTGCTGTTTATTGACCAAAAACAAAAAAAAATCCACTTAGTGTATTCCTTTTAAGATTTTAGGGTTTTGTTTGATCTGAGCCATTTGCTTGTGCATCTGGATAGACACAGCAGAGAGAATGGGAAGAAACTGGTTTTGTCCATGGTGTGGAGTATTCAATGGCTTCTAGAGAACACCATGCCTATCTACAGCCGTACCACCCTGAACACACCCAGTCTCAGCTGATCTCAGAAGCTAAGCAGGTTTGGACCTAGTTAGTACTTGGATGGGTGAACACTACACCCATCCCAAGCCCAGCTCCCACTAAGGCAATGCCGGATCCTCTCAAACCCTCACATTCTAGGAGAGGCAGTATGAACTCCATGGTGCAGGAGAGGGAACAGAATTAGAGATGACTAAAGTCACATGGCTGACAAGAGCCCAGGCTTAAACTCAGACACTTCTAGATCTCAAAATTCTCCGGTTTTCGGTTTAAGTGAACACCCTTGCTGTGATCAGCAGTCTTCAGCTGTCATTTGGATCTTTGGGAGAATTGCGAGCTTTGTGATCAAGAATCGTGGTTTCCAGTGTGTCCTTAAGATCTTCTACATTCTGAAAAGTGCCAGTCATTGCCAAGGGTATGACTGGAGCATCCACATGCTATGCATTAAAGCAGTTTCCTGCTGCCCCATCCTCTGACATTTAGAATTTTACAGCAGATAACACTGTTGAGGGCAAATGTATTTCTGTAGAACACTGATTTAATATCACAAGAGGGGTTTTTTCCTCTCTTAATCCCAATGCGTGTCTATAATTGTTTAGAGTTGTATTTGTAGCATCTTTCAGAGATTCTCTTTGTAGTTTCTGATTTTTGAAAGGAGCCCACTCTAAGACTGCCTAGTGTACAAGTGGCATACTTGAGGACTGGAACGAAGGGTCGGTATTTGGCTCATAGGTTAGGATGTCTGCATGCCATGCTGGAGTGTGTGGGCTTCGGCCCCCAGACTCTGCCAATGCTAATGTTCGCCATGGGAGGCAGTGCCTGATGGATCAAGCACGGGGATCCCTATCGCATGCATGAAAAACCTAGATGGAGTTGCACTCAGCCGGCTTCCACCTGGTCCAGGCCTGTCTGTTGCAGGTATTTGGGGAGTATGCTAGTGGATGCATCGCTTCTCGGCCTTTTGGCTAAGATCAAGTGTAGTATGCTACTGGATGGGTGATCTCTCTGTGTGTCTTTCTGGCCCTCTGACTTTAAAATAAATAAAAAGAAATTAGTTTTTAAAATTTTTTTAAAAACTAAACAAATGAATCCTTTTATCACCCAGAAGGTATCAACATTAAACTTTGGGTAATACCAAAGATGGTATGGTTTTAAAAATACCCCATTCTTTGCAAGCCCTTAACTCCATTTTCCCAGTGTTCTGGGTCCATCTTAACTGTGACTGAAGTCACCGAAGGGGATTTTATGGATAGCTGCTCTCAGCGGTTATTGAGGAAGCAAGGTCCCTCTATGGAGGACAGCATGTGGCTAGACTATGCTGGAAAGGGCAGTTTGAACTTCCTCTATCTATATATTCCTTAACTAAGCTGAGAACATGTGTTTGCTTTAAATAATGTTTAGGGTATATTTACTCTGTGATATAAAGAGAAGCACATACTTATTGTGGGGAATTTAAAAACCACAGAATAGAGAAGAGATATGCAAATCACTACTAAATCTGCTTCCACCACTCTTAACCTTTGGGCATATTTTCTTTTGATCTTTTTGGTTTCTTCCCTGTTGTTATTATCATTAGTGTTTATGATCATTATAATTATATATCTGGGAGTAGATAGAATATACAATTTTGCATCTGTTTTTTTTCAACATCATTTAGTTTCTTCAAAAACATGATTTTTATGACTGCATAATAGCCTGTAATGTGAGTATATCGTAATTTGTTTAGCCATATTCCAATTGATGGAATAGCTTAGGTGGTTTGGAGTTTTCACAATCAAGTTTTTAATCTCTGTAATATGCTTTTTACACAAATGGACATGGTTGGGTAGCCAATAGCATTTGGAAATTAATACATCAATAGAGAATATCTGCAAGTAATTTATTTTGCAAATGAATTAACTATGTGGAAAGAGTTGCATTTAGAAAGCTTGTGTCAAGCTTTGAGCCATGTCTGTCTGTACCATCTCTGTCTGCACGCACATACCCTACAATGCACCAAGCTACTATCAGTTTGTACTTAGTGATGGTATCTCCTCAACTCCAACATTCTCTAACTCTGACAAATGCTCTCTGCAGAGTGCTGAAAGTTGAGTAAATTTTATGGTGTGGTCTATTGCCAAAGATCACATTAAATCAGTCATTTTTGTATTGTAAGAAGGTTAATGTAGCTTTTTGAAGGATTCAGTATTGGACATCGGCTGGGTGAACAGGACATGTTCATGGCATAAGTGTCTTCCTTTCAGGGTAAGCAGAGATCAGAAAAGGGGGAAAGCAAGCCTGCCGGAGGAGGGTCAGCCAGGGAGAGTGAGGACATTGTGTTGCCAATAAGGATTCAGGACCTAAAGCCTCAGCCTTTGATGGGAACTATTCCTCTGGCAGGGGGAGCCCAGGACATTTGAGCACTGGAGGCGAGAGGATGGGTTTTGCTTTGGAAGACAGAGGCTCCAATGGGAAGGAGCAGAGAGGCCTGGACCGATGGACTCTGGGAGGCAAATCAGCAAAGAGAAGTGAACTGGTGTTAGCTGAACACCTCCTAAAAGTCAGACACCCATTTTCACCACCTGTGCCTAAACATGACAAAGTAAAGGCTTGCCCCAAGTCACAGGGCAGAACGTGATGAAGCTAGGTGCTGACCCTACACCTGAGGCTCGGACCCATTTGGCTGCACTGAATGGTACAGGGGCAGCACCTCCAGGGATGGAGGAAGTGTCCTTACCTTACATACAATGGAGGTGAACTTGGCAGCTGATGAGAAATGAGACCAGGAAGGACAGGGCTGGAAATGCCACTGAAACTGGGGAGGTGTGATACATCAAGACAACAATGACATCAGCATTGGTAAAAGATGAGCAGTTGTGAAGTAAAGATGAAGAATTGGATTTTAGAAGCTCAGAGTTAGAGGCACAAGCAGAAAACAAAAATGAGCATGTCTAGAAAGTCCTGAGAAACATGGAACAGAAGCCCAAGAGAAAATCTGTACTGCATAGACCCTATGCAAAGGCTCAGTGGCTAAATGCTTGCCTTGCAAGTGTCAGGATCCTACTTAGGCACCAGTTCATGTCCCAGCAGCCCCGCTTATGGCCTGGGAAAGCCTTAGGACCCTGTACCTGCATGGGAGACCTGGAAGAAGCTGACTCCTGGCTTTGGATCGGCTCAGCTCCAATCATTGCGATCACTTGGGGAGTGAACCAGTGGGTAGAAGATCTTTGTCTCTTCTTCTCCCTGTAAATCTGACTTTCCAGTAAAATAAATAAAACAAACAAACAACAACAAAAAAGATAAAGATTTAGGAGATATCTAATTCATAGAAACTTAGTTCTGTTTTAGAAATATTATGAATATATTTGAATGCAGCTGAAGTACACTTGAATATTGTGAATTTAGATAAAATTAAACTATGACCTTTCCATGAAGAGAATACTCTCTTGAAATTCTTTGGCGGGAAATAAGTTCCTAGAGCCAAAAGGAGCCGTGTTGCAGCTTCCTTCTAGGTCCAGAGTCTTGACATTCACGCCTTCTGAGCAGGCAGGACAATGAGTGGCCTGTACTTGGCCTTCTCCATCGCACCCAACTACCACCACTGGGAGGTACACAGATTTATGAAGTGCACTCAGAGTTCAGGGACCTTCCTATCTCTGTGTATCCAGTTCTACTCTAGCCAAGGTCATGAACCCCCTTTTCCTCTCCAGTGCAAGGATAGTGTCTCCAGAGCGTAGAAAGCCATCTTGAACGTGGCAATAGTTCAGGGCTGCTGGATGTACCATTGCAAGACGTGCAAACATGCCATGAGCTAGTCTCAAATAAGCAACTTGCCTATTGCTCTTTTAGAAATCACCTGGGAGAACAGAAGAGGCTAAAATCAGTATATAAACACCTTGCCTTAAATATTTCAGCTATCATGATTTGTTTTTTTAAAACCCACAATCCATTTAGTTCAGTCAAACACACCAACTCCTTTGGGAGGACAGAAAAAAAATTTTTTTCCCCTTTTTGTTCTGGATTTTTTACGTATCTGCCAATGACCTTGGCCTTGTTAGTGAGCACGTTGCTGGAGCAGGCTTCGATAATCTACCACCAAACAAACACAACATGGAAGATGGAGAGAGAGAGACTGGCGCACACAGGGCCAAAGGGGTGGGCATGCTTGTCTCTTGCAGAACCTGACATGAAGTACATAACAAGCATTTACTTAACAAAAGACCCAAAAGCAAAACACCAGCGAAACTCCAAAGTGACTGACTACACACGAAGCATGAAAAGGTTTCATGATGTGAGACACCTCAAGCAAACCACAGAAAATGAAAAACATTTAGAAGCATTCAAGGAGAGCCAGTCAGCATCCGTTCCCAACAAAACAAACAGGACAGCCTTTCTCATTGCCTGGGTGGAAGTGCACCGTGTATGTCGACCGAGCCTGGCACATGAGTGCATGCTCGGTGTCTGCTGCTCTCTTCTTTGCTAACTGACTATGACACTGTGGCCTCTTGCTTATGCTGGTTCTTACTGAGTGGGGTAGATGTGTCTCATTAACCTACAGAGATGTAAAGCTTCTGCTATGGATTAGATGTTGAGAGAGACATGGCCAAGGAATGAGGACAGCCCTAATCTTCCCAGCAAATGAATGACAGCACGAGACACTGCCAAACAATTGGAGGGGATGTGCAAGGGAACCCCAAGGCTTTCCAGACAAGCCGGCTTCTCAGGAAAGGGCTGGTGTCTCCCTTCTCTCAGGCTCCACTGTGTAGAATAATAGCTGGAGAGAGATGAAGCTTAGCAAACGCACCAATGTGTGGGTCAGTGAGTGAATGGGCATGCGCCGAGTGGGAGGGCTGGCCTGCAGGGATGCTTCCTGATGCGTGTTCCCTACAGACTGGGTGGTTCTGGGTAGAGGAGCTCCACAGAGGGTCAGAGGGGAGCGGGAGCTGAACTGAGCTGAGTGGGAAAAAAAGAAGGCTGTCTCTCACCCATAACCTCCTCACGCCCCATCTCTACCATGCATTGTTTCCTCCTTTCTCTTAAACAAGGTCCTTGCCGCAAATGTGCATGTCGGTGTGCCTTCAGCTTTGTGTGACTGCGTCTGAGTCCTACCTTCTGAACACTCCTATTTGCACTTACTCTGTGCCACCCTCTGACTTTCATTAGTCAGCTCTGCCATCCGCTCCGAATGGACCTGGGTGGGGCTTCTCTGGGTTTACAGGAGGCTCCGTTGTGTTGACTTGAATAAGATTCCAGCATGCGAAGGATAGGTTTCCTGAATTGGCAGATTTACCTCTTATTTGCATAAATGTATGCTGGGGGCTTTTTAAAAAAGATTTATTTATTATCTAATTTTTATTGGAAACTCAGATTTACAGAGAGAAGGAGAGATGGAGGGAAAGATCTTCCATCTGCTGGTTCATTCCCTCAGTCACCTCAATGATTTCAATGGCTGGAGCTGAGCTGATGCAAAGCTAGGAGCCTGGAGCCTCCTCTGGGTCTCCCACATGGGCGCAGGGTCCCAGAGCTTTGGGCTGTCCTCAACTGCTTTCCCAGGCCATAAGCAGGGAGCTGGATGGGAAGTAGGGTAGCCGGGACACATACCGGTACCCACATTGGGTCCTGGCACATACAAGGTGAGGACTTAAGCTACAAGGCTATCATTCAGGGCCCCACAAAGGTTTTTTTTTTTTTTAAGTCCTCCTTTATCTGCCTTTAGCTGTCGATCCAGTTCCTCTTTTTTTCTCTCCAGGAGGACTCTGGAATGCATAGTATTTGTCAAACACATTGGTTCCTTACCTCCCATTGAGCAGTGAAGTGGACTTGCAGTGAAAGTGCCCTTGCCCAAGTTGCAGGACAGTCTCCTGGCTGTAACGATGCGGAGCCCCATGCAGCCAGAAAGCACACTGTGGTGGGCACTGTGTTTCCTGCTGCTACCCCAATGCCTGGCACAAGCTTGGTGCTCAGCGAGTGTCTGCTGAAGGTCTCATGGCTTCATGTCTCAGCTGAGCTCAGCATCAGTGGCCATCGGCACAGTCTTGTCTTCTTTCCCTCTCCTGAAGTCTAAGCCTACCTGTCTGAGCCAGCCATTCATTTTCTCCTTTGCATCTCAGCCCTTACATGTTCGTATTTAAATTCTGTCTATGGTCCT